CAGGGTGTTCATAATGTCTTTTAATAATATTCAAAGCCAGCATCTAATGCAATTACAGGGTATTCATATTGTTTTAACAATATGCAAAGCCTACATTAAATGCAACTACAGGGTATTCATATTGTGTGTTAATACGCAGAGCCTATATTAAACGCAATTACAGGGTATTCATATTGTGACAAATATTAATATAAACAATAAATAAATATAAAATCAACTTTAGGTATAAACAAACTGAATACCTAACGAGCTCTCTAAATAAGGGTATAATAAGACAAATCTACATATGTATAAATTTAACAAATATAACCCGGCTTTGCCCGCGTCAAATGAATGATGTGGTCTCAAAATTGTTTGAGCAATTCGCGCAAACTTCAGACAAATAAAAAACTTCAGACAGAAATAAAAATTGCCGCCCGAAGCTATAAAAACTTCAGAAACCATCAGGTCCACTCAGATCTTATTCCGGCTATTCACATGGTGTGTTCCTGACATTCAATCATTCAATCCTAACATTCCTGATGATGTTCGTATATGTAAATGTTTCATCATTTTGATTTCCCCACCTCAATTGATCAGAAGAAAAACACTTCTGTATTAATTTATGTAAAAAATTGCTGCTGAGTTTGAACCAGCGAACAGCCGCCTTATAGTCCAACATACCTGATGAAGCTAACATAAATGTTCCTCAATTGGTTAAAAGAAAAAAACATTTTCTAAACACAAATTTAACAATAACTTTTAAAATTGACAATTATTGCTGAGTTTGAACCAGCGAACTACCGTTTATCAGTCCAACATTCCTGATGAGGCTCATAAAAATGTTCCTTCATTTTCATTGCCCCATTCCACTTGCTCAAATGAAAAACATTTCTGTTTTCATTTATCTGAAAACTAAAAGAATTGAAAATTGTAGTGCTGAGTTTGAACCAGCGAGCTGCCGCTTATCAATCCAACCTTCATTCAATAGAAATAAACTTGTTTTAAGTTATCTAAAAACTAGTCAAACTGACAATTGCTGCTGAGTTTGAACCAGCGCACTGCCGACGCACAGTACTTGTCCACAAAAATGAACTCTACCTAAAACTGATTTAAAGTACATACATACATGAAAGTCTATATTTAAATGGAATGCAATGAATTGAAGTCAATAGATGCTTCAAGTATTTAAGAAGTTGGAGTTTGAGCTTCTGTGGAGCCACTTACAGGTCATCGCCTAGTCGAGCACTATTCATTCATTCAAATACAACCAACTTGCTTCAAGAATAATTTTATAGAGCTTCTGTTTGGCCGTTGAACGTTGCGAACATATTTGCATTCCCCCGGTTAGATTTTGTGGACAGTTGAGTGTGCATTTCATATTCAAATTATGTACACACTTGCCCTGTTAATTAACTTGTTTGCAATATTTGATGTTTCGGTATTTGTTATTTGCTCCAACTCCGTGTCACATACATATTCATATTTCAATGGAAATCTGACTAAATTCAGTTATTTAACTGCTGATTATACTATATTATTACATGAGGCAATTACAGACCATTTATTCGCAATTATATGTTTTTGGCACTTTGGCGGGCTTTCAAGTGAATCAGAAATGATTTAAAACATATTCAAGCCGTAAGTAGTTCAATTAGCACAAACACTTTGAAATTGCAATGAAATTGAATAGAACATTAAAATACAATAAGATGGAATCTATTAATCGAGACTTTGGCAATGAGAACCTGCTTCATTTCAATTGGTTGCGCTGGAAAATATAAAACGGGTTAATACATATAAACTGTACAACAAAAGCATGGAATCTCGTGGAATAGAACACATTATATATTGAATGCATGAAAGTTATTAATATGGAAGGAAACTTTATGGAATAGAACAGGAATAGAACTATGGAATGGAACGACAATTGCATATAAAATGCAAAATACTTTAAAACAAAGAGTGGAATATCGTGGAATAGAACATCGAATGCATAAAAGCTTTTAACATGGAAGGAAAAGTTTTGGAATAGAACAGGAATGCTATGGAATGAATGAAACACAGAGTGGAATATCGCGGAATAGAACACATTATGTATTGAATGCATAATAGCTATTAACATAGAAGGAAACGTTTTGGAATAGAACAGGAATGCTATGGAATGGAACTACCAATTAGTGAATGGTAAAATGTAAACTACTCTAAAGCAAAGTGTGGAATGCCGTGGAATAGAGCACATATATAAAGAGCATAAAATTATTATTCCTATTAACATGGAAGAAAGCATTTTGGAAGACAAAAGGAATACCATGGAATGGAACGGTCAATTTGTGAATGATTGAATGGAACAACAGCCATAAAGTGAAACGATATAAGATAGATTGAAACGACATGGAATGAAACAAACGGAAGGGAGCAAAGAGAGAAAAGAAAGGACAAGGCAAGACATGGAATAAAACGGACGTGAAATAATAAAGAATTATTTGCATATGTTTAAAATGCGCAACAAAATTCTTTCAGTTGGCATTCCGTGCATGGAATAAACGGAATGAACCGAAGAAGAATAATAAAAGAAAATTACAGTAAATGCAATGATATGTCAATTAATAAAATGGAACACAAAATAGCGAATGACAACGTGAACTTTGATTAATTCATGATAAATTGTTTAATGCATGTTTATCAATTCGGTGCTTCCGAGTTGCAACAATAATAAACGAATGTGGAATGTTTGCTTTATCAGGTGAAACAATTTTTGTAATTAAATTTAACTCGAGACTTAACACTTAAAATGAAAATAGCTCAGCGGGAACAACAAATACATTGCGATGAAAATAAATGAATCCAACAATTTATTGTACACTAATCATTGACAATTATTAATAATTATTCTAGTATTGTGCACGAAATGCAAAAAAGTGTGTGTGATTAAATCCAACAACACAGCCCGTGGGATTAATTATTCTATAATCGAAGTAAACAAATTAGTGGAAAACTCAGTTGACAGCACTTAATTAGCCAGCCGTAAGCCCCAAGAATTACAGTTAGGCCCGCAAGTAATTGAACAGCTGCAACTTGTTCAACAATTCCCAATTTCAAAAGTTACTAATTAAAAGTTCTCACACAAAACTTATTTCCACTCGGTTTAGGCATTTATTTTAAATGCAACTATTGTTCAGCAGCTGACAGAAAGCTCAATAATATGTAATGAGACATTCGAAAGGAATTTCCAAGTAGAATTACTTTGTATACCCTGTAAGCCTATGAGGCATAAACGAGCATGCACAATGGGTGAAGGAAACATCCCAAATCCTGCAAAGGATATACATATATTCAAGTTCAAACTAGCTCTTGGAAGTAATGTTATAAATAGAGCAAAGTTCTCTTTCTTTCTTCCTCCCATTTCTTGATATGTATGTTCTTATATGGATTTTGCTGATCAGGATTATTTAACTAGTATGTAAATATCCAGATTAGCCTTAAACTTAAATGATTTTATAGAATTAAAGACAGATTTTGAACCTAACCTATTCGAATCTGGAATTCCTAAATATTTAACCTTAAGCCATGAGTCAAGAAAGCAAACAATCTTGAAACCCGAACCTGACGAAAATGAAGGTTTCAACCTCAAACTTGGTGCAAAGTCGTGAAAAGCTAGCGTCACGATCCGAATTTTAAGGCAGGGAGTTAGTTCAACTTTCTTGACTTTACAACCCTGTTTTAATTTATATATCCCGAACTTTTTCAAGTTTCAAATACGATACATAATTTTGAGTTATTTATTTCTTATTTTAATTCAATTGTACTTTATTTAAAGAATGAAATTCCAATCAACCCTAATAAGAAAAAACTTGCATGTTCCGTCGTTTCTTTTTTTTTTTTTCGATATTTGGGGACTCGCTCATTTTTGTTGAACATTATCCGAGTAATCTAAGTACAATTGAATGAAAGCTAAACTTTATTCTATTCTTCTGCTTCTTAGCTTCTTCCTCTTATTCTGCTCCATTTGCCAGTTTGGCTGTTTATTCGGTTGCGCATTTCATCTTGGAAAATCGTATGTTTGATGTGGACTCGTCTAACTTTTGTGCTGTCATTGCAGTTATTTACACAGTCAATACACACACACACACACACACACACACGCTCATGCACACACATACACACACAAAGACACTTTGAATTGTCGTTCTCTGTTTCTGGATTCTGTGAAAATATCAGCGACAAGGTGTTAAATATACATTTTTGTCATCAAACTCTTTGCCACCGAGTGCTACAGTGGATGCTGACTGGAGTGAACCTTATATTGAGAGTCTAACTCGAAGCAAATGAAATATAGTGTAAATCAATTTTGCCAAAAGTTTTTATGGCACTTTAACATTATTTCTAAATTATTCCCAATAACAGGAATGTTCTCCTTAATGGATCTTATCTGGAAATATTACACATTTCTATCAAAGACAACTATTTACTACCAATTTATTGAATTTTTAAGAGTTTGATACTTTTCTACCCTTTCAAGCTTCAATATTGATCTATACAATATAGTTAACTCCTTTATCGATAGTTCACTGTATTTAAAGCTGACTTGGACAGTTGTAAATCCAAATTGAGTGCGGTTTGAGTTTTTGGGGTCACTTTGACTTAATTTGATAACAACATCAACAACAACAAGACGACCAAAATGAGAAATCAGTATTGCTGATCGAAATGCGTTGAGCTACTACTAAAACTCGCGCTACTCCCACTCCTGCTACTATTTGTGCTCCTCTTTCGCCTACAGAATGTCGCCCTGTTTTGCCTAATTTCCTGCTACGCTTTGAACCACCAACAAATTCCCACGGGCTGTTTGTTTTGTACATGTTTTCGAGACACACACAAAATACCAAAAACGAATGAGAAAAAAACATGAAATAAAATATAACAACAACAAGAGAGGCAGAATATAAGTGGAAGAAGAAATGTATGCATGCAATGGGCAAGGGGCGGGGTAGGGGCAACGTGCAGAAGACAGAACTTACCCGCGTAACATGAGCAGCTGTCCAAGCTAAATGCGGCTATGCCGAGCAGTAGCAGCAGCAGCGGCAATAGCAGAGGCGGCGACGTCGATAGCGGCAGCATTTTGAGCCAAGCTGCTGCCGACGTTGTTGTTGGTTTTTTGATTCTTCCTTTTGCTGCGGCTGCTGCTGGTTTTTTGTTGACGCGCCGCAGCGACGACGCCAACGATCGTTGCTGCATTTGCGCCAGTTGTTGTTGTTGTTGTATTTGTAGCCTGTCTTTTACTTTAAGCTGCGGCGTTTCTTGTGCTTGTTCAATTAACAGTGTTTTTATTTTAATTTTTATTCAGTTTGTTTTTCGTCTTTTTTTCGTTAAGCTATGCAAAAGTTTTGCTCTTTTTCAATTGTTTCAATTTCTATTTATTGACCATTTTCGCTAACATTTTTTTCGTATCTACAATAGACAACAGCAAGCAGGGCGTGTGAGTTAAAGAGGCGGGCACACACAACTACACACAAACACACGCACACACACACACACACACACACACACACAAGCAGAAGCGGTAGAAGATGATGAGCAACAGAACGCAAACTAAAACAAATGCTAACGTCACTTTAATCTACCACTGCGCTTTGTGCTGTCCATTCGCACCAAAATCCACTCACTCGCTTACACACATGCACACCTGCCGCAGGTAGAAACGCGAGCAAAAGAGAGCGAGCGCATGTGAGAGGCCAGGGCACGATCAGCGCGCCAAGCCAAAGCCAAAGCCAGCAGCGCAGTCAGCGTTTGTTTAATGGGAATTCTGCTTCTTCTTCTTCTTCTTTATATGTTGCTACTGCTGTTGTGTTGTGGCTTTTTGTTGAACCCTTTTCTTTTGGCTCGGCTGTCGACTGGTTGGCTGCAAGAACCCGTTTTTACATGCAATTCTTTCGTTTCAAGCTTGCTCGCTCCCACACACAGGCACACACACACATTAAAACACACAACAACTATGCACACTTATGCAAAATGCATATCTAAATGTAAATATATGTTTGTATGTATATCAGTTGTTAATAAAATTATAAACATTTGTTTTCTTATCGGCACGTTTTATATTGCGTTTATTGCACATGCATTTCCATTTCATACAAATATTCAGGCACGCACACACAAACACTCGAGAAACAGAAAAAAAACCAACAAAAATATTGAAAGATCATTGCGCGCTGCCGATCGACGCGCCAGCAGCAAAGATACACACATAAGACATACAACGTTTTTTACCAGCTACGCTTTGGCTCTGCTTTCTCACGAACTACGACTACGCGAGCGACGACGACGACGGCGACGGCTATAACAGCGACGACGACGACGAGACACACACGGCAATCACTACCGTCCGGAACGCGCGCACAAAACAAACTGAAAACGCTGCCAGAAACATAACAAATGCAGCAACGCCAAGAGCTGTTGAGTGGGGTTCGTTAACAGAAAACTGTTACGATTGCTATGTTAACTTCACTTGCCCAATGTTTATGCTCAAATTAACTGCTCTGTCTCTGTCAGGCAGCACTCAATGTTAATGCTAACTCAAAATGGCACTGTTAGCGTGCAAAGGCACAGTGGCTCACAATCTTATAGCAAATAATAGCAATAGTTACTCAATTGAACATGCTCATAGTTGTTGAAACATTACAGATTTTAAAGTTATAATTAATTGAGCATAAACTAAACCATATAAATCTCTCTTAACCCTCAATTCTGTCATAATTCTCGGGAATATTTTTAGGAGAACTTAAATATTGTACAATCAAAGTTAAGCTAAGCGTATCACAGACAACAATTCTCTCACCACTGTCGCGCAACAGATGCTGCCTGCGTAGTGCATTTAACTCAAAATGCCACTCAAAGCAACTTAACTCGCGGAAAGCGCTCAAGTCAATCGCGGTTAAATTCAAAAGGCGTGCTAAGTGCAAATGCGAAATGCTTGTAAAACCGAAAATGAAATTAAACGCAAATAATAAATTAAATTTGCGTGTTTTGGAACTCTTTCTGGCACATTTATGAATAAAAAATATAGGATTTTTTGATTGCAATGCGATGTTTGAGCCAATTAGCTGGTACTAAATAAGTATGTATTAATTAATTGCATTTGCATTTGCCGTTTTATTGCTTTCTTCGAGTTCTAAAATTAAAGGACATTTTAATATTTTATTTTTTTTTATTTTTTGGATGCTTCTACAAAATTTTTCATCGCAATTGCTGTATGTAAAAACATATACAACAATATGAGCTCTTTGTTAGCGCGTGTGTGTGTGTGTGCATTCATTTCAAAATGCACTTAAAAATTGCTGTCACATGTGTGTGTGTGTGTGTGTGTGCCCGCGGCTTTTGCTAGAGGTCAGGTCAACTTCGTCGCCTGCCAATTAAAACTTTTTATGCGCTGCGGCGGCTACACACAGACACCGCACACATATTCATATAAAAAAAAACTGTGCGTGTGCCTGTGTGTGAGTGTGTGTATGGATGTGTATTTTGTGGCGCGCTCCAAGTAACTTTATTAATGCGATTTCAGTTAATTAACAACAACAATTACTCACACACACACGCACTCGCTGCCTTAAAAAAAAAAACAACTGCAAATAAGATAGAGGGCGACGGGGGTAAGAGAGAGCGAGCTGGCGACGTGTTGGTGCAAAAAAGAATTGGTGACACTTTTTAGGGCTGATCACAAAATGCATTTTCTGTCAAAAATACGTTCACACTTGCAGCAACACAAGCACAAGCGCAAGTAGATAACATTGATGTATTTGGCATTCACATAAACATACGTTAGGATCCGGCTTGAGTTCGCACTCAATGCGTGGCCCACTCCAATCATAACAGAGCATAGCAAACGGCAACACAGCAACACCAACCACTCGGCCGCCTAACGGTTCCCACGCATCGCTTTTGTTTTGAGTTCGTTTTTTGTCCTCGCGCAACAAGTTGGCAGCGAGAGCGTCTGTGTGTGTCTGTGTGTGTGTGTGTGTTTGTGCGTGTGTGCTTAGACGAGCAATATCAAAAATACAGGCATGAAAAGTTGGCGCACAAAGTGTTGCCTACCTTTGGGAGCGTTGCAAAATTAACGAGTTTCGCTCAAAGCGCACACTGAAACGGTCGTCTTATCTATATTTCTGGAAGAAACAGACAGAAACAGTTCGAGTCTGAGCGAAGAGTTTGAATGACGGCAATCTGTTACGGGCATACATACGTGCACGCAAAGCATAAACGAGACTATATTGCATTGGCTCTTTCAAAGCACAGGAAACTCGAACAAACAAAAAAAAACAAAAAAAACAAACAAAACAAAAACGAAAAAAAAAAAAAAAGGAAATGATTATCTTCTGTTGACCAGGCTCGGCACACTGGGTATCAGATACAGCAAAATTGGGCGAGACAGTAAACCAGCAGAGCTGACTCTCAAATACCTTAAAATCGTCATATTAATATAGTATTATGATCTTATTTTTATTGTTACAATCAATTTTAAAATTTTAAAAATTCTTAATCAAACTTTTTTTAATAGCACTACCTGAATAAGCGAGAGTTACAATATTATAATTATTTATTCAATATTCTTTTTAAACGATTTTCTTTTCTTCAACTTTTCACATTGATCAGATCGTAAATTGCAGTATGTTTAAAAATCGAAACTTTTTTCTAATCATCAGTCAAAAACTATCGCAAATATATCTTCCAGGCGACACCTATTTCCTTCCAGCATGAACTAAACAAATTTCTTAATATCGCAAATGTATCTTCCAGGCGACACCAACTCTATTTCCAGCTTTACCAATTCAACTCAGTCGAAACTATTTCCCAAACATTAACTAAATATATTGGCTACTATCGCAAAAGTCTCTTTCAGGCGATACATTCTGGCTGGATAGAGTGATATTACCATATGTATCGAAAGATGGAATTTCTGATCCTATTTTGATGTTTCCTCTGCACTTGATAGCGCCATTTATACCGGAATTACAATCTATATGAGCGTGCTGTGAAATTTCTATTGAAAACCGATTTGCAACATTTATGTTAAGCCGCTCATTTGGCCGAATGGGCATTGATACCTTGAATACCTGCAGCTATAATACCCAACCTGTGGCCGGCAACCACAGTGGAGACGAGTCGGCTCTGACGGATCAAGAGTCGTCGGGCCGATGCAATTCGGAAGCGCTGGCCTGGTAGTTTCTACAATACACTAATGAAAATGTGCTGTTCATCGTCAATGGGCATGGGTCACAGGAGCTCGGCTATTGGTTGGTTGGTCGGTTGATTGGGCGGACTTAGGTGGATGCATTCAGGTGGTTGCCACCCATTATGGTGACCTGTGGCCATGCGTTTCCACATGGGCGACTGCTTGCCCAGTCACACATAACTTGGCAGTCGAATTGATTTGAAATGTGCTTTAAAACTTATGCTCCAGCACAGCAGCTGCTGCAACTACAACTACGGCTACAGTATCGATACGCCCTAGTATCCCGGACATCCCAGCCGTTCCATGGCAATCGAGCATCGGGGCGGGGTTATCTATTTGTGTCCGTACGTGACCGTGGATACGCCACACAGAACTGAAGGTGTTATCCGACACTCGTTGCTGACTAGTTTGTTGACACAAATCACAGAACCAAAGCAAAAATACAGCAAAACAAATCCCGATTGAGCAGCAGAACGAATCGTTAATACATTTACCCCCATTTCATATAATCTATTTGCGTTAAATGGTTGCCAATTTTTGACCAATCAATATGCAACCGAGTGTCCAAAGACTTAAAAAACAAATTTCACCAATTCTAAATAACAGATTTTCAGAGCAAACAACTGGGAAGGCGTTTCAAGTTATGGAAAACTTTTGTTCTGCTTTATATTAATAAAGTACAATAAGATAAATATATATACAAGTTAGGTGTACAAATTTAAGAAATATTTATTAATAGCAATAAAATTAAAAACAATAATAGAGCTTCTCTTCTATATGTAGCTAATGCATTAGAATTGTAAAAAAAATAGTAATTATAACATGAATAATAATAATATAAATAAAAGAAAATAATTATAAGAGTGATAAAAATAATAATAATTAATTCTAATAATATTGATAATAATAACAATAATGAAATAGATACAAATATTTAAATGTATTAGTTATGTACAAATTTATCTATCAGATGGAATATATCGAAAAGATAAAACAATAAATACAATATATAGACAAAAAATTTGTTAATATATGAAAAATAAATAAATAGGGGTTTTCTTTTTTTTTATTTTTCTAAATATATAAAAATATTTTTCGAAATATATATTAATATTTATCTTAATATATATTAATATTTATCTTAATATATATTAACAAAATGTTTGTTAATATATATATCTTTTAGAAGTTTAATTAAAAGTTCCTTCAAAATTATTAGACAGGAAAACAAATAAATCTTTTATCATTTAAAATTTTTTTATCATAAAATCAATCATAAATAAATGTTGTTTAAATATATTTAGTATAAAGCATGTATTTTTCTTATCGTAAAAACAATTTATAAATATTATTAATAGACTATATTGTATTTTATAATTAGTTCAATAAAAATGCACAAGGAAAAATCGAAAAAGAAATACCTATTTATTTATTTGAAAAAAGCATTGATTTATTTACTAAAACTTAAGAACCTAATAATGTTAAAAGAAGGCCATAAAATATATCATTTAATTGGTTATTTAAATATCGTTGAAAATATTGTAAAAAAAACATTTTGAAAAATATTTTTCACAGATATTTAATTAGCTGGCTCGAGATCAAAGAATCGCAATATTTTCTAAGTTCAGCTTCAGCTTTAGCTAAACTATCCCACATGTAAATATATATTTAGTTTCTCGGGGAATCTCATCCAAAATCTAAAATTATGAGCTGCCGGGATTTCGAGCTTTCTGACGGCACTTCAAAGGACAGCTTCAGGTGTCAGTTTGAGCAATAGGAAAACGTTCTAAACGAGCTGACAAATTGCTAATAACCATTGAGTAGGGCATATAAAGAGCGAGAGTGGGAGAGCGAGCGAGGGAGAGCGAGCGAGGGAGAGCGAGAAAGCAAACATTGCAAAACAGAGCTCATTGAAAAGGCGGCAGCTGTCAAATTTATTTGCGCATGAAAATCCAATTGCAGCATGTGCGCTGCTCGACTCCGCAAACTCCGCAAACTCCTCAACTGTGCAACTGTGCAACTGTTCAACTGTGCAACTGCCTGACTGTTCAACTGTGCAACTGTGGAACTGTCCACTGTCCAGTTGGCCATTTGTCCTGTGTTCTGGCCACTTGAGTTGAGGAGCAACAAGTGTGCAGACAGCTTGACATCGCGATAGTCGCTAGACATGCTC